TCTTGAGATTGGGGACGTCCTTGGGCGACAAAAGAGAGAGTGCAGAAGGTGTAATTCCGAGGGCATCGACCGAAAGCCGATTAATGACTCCCGCGAGATCCTGAGTGAGTGCTTCTTTGGGTGCCAGCACCAGGGTTCCGCCGTTGACGAGAGTACTCAAGATGGTACGTTGAGCAGCACTGAAACTTGGGTTGTAGAAGAGAAGCCAGCGGTTCAGCCCGTTCAGAGAGTGGTGCTGCATCCCACTCGTGGCGGCCTCATGAGTGAGTACTGCACCCTTGGGCTTTCCTGTGCTACCGGATGTGTAGATGATGTAACAGCGGTCTTGTGGCTTGACGAGTACACCAATGCCGTTGGAGTTATCGAGTGACTCTGTGGCATCAGTAGGTAGTCGTGAGTAATCTTGTTCGATATTGACAGTGTTGGGGAGCATATTCATGTATCTGCGACTAGACAGAACCGCTGCTGCATTGCAATCGCTGACGACTTGCTCGAGGCGACTGACTGAGAACTCTGAGTCAAGGACAGTATACGCTGACCCAGCCTTGAGGACCGCCAGGATAGCCACGACCAGATCAAGAGACCTGTCAGCCAAGATAGGATAGACAGCATCTTTGTGCAGCCTCAACCTCCTTGCGAGTTGGTTGGAAAAACTGTTGAGCTGGGCGAAGGTGAGGCTAGTGTCGCCCTGGAAGTCAACTGCGACTCGTTCAGGGTTTCTAGCCACAGTCTTCTCAAACAAAGCAGGGATAGTCGTAGCTTGTACCTTTCGGGTGCTCACAGATCGTGATAGTATGAGACGCCTTTCAGCCTCCGAGACGAGCTGGATGTCGGATAAAGGGAACTTGTCCACGGCGCTCAAACCCTTGGCGGCACTGAAAATCGCCGAAATAAAGTGCCTAAACACCAATTCGACCTTCTCCAGTGGGATCTTGGTTGTGCACTTGATAGCGAGTTGTAACACGCTCGCGTCATTGATGCACAACACGACAGGGAACTTTCGTAAGCTTGGGGCGATGCAAGGTGTGTTGGTTGTCTGGCTGTAGCTAACGGCTGTTTCGATCAGCATGTCATTTGGTGCCTGCTCTTCGATTCCAGTGTAGCCGATGAATGCGTGACGGCCGGCTTCCGTATGGTATTCATCCAGGGAGTTGGAAAGTTCAGAGAAGGATGCGTCTTCCCCAGTGGGAACGCGGAGTCGGATGGGATAGGTTTGGTCAAGACATCCGACGCAAGTGTCTGCGCCCACAAAACTTGCATCTCGACGAACAGTTCCGAAGAGAACCTCTTCAGAGTCGGAGTGAGCGCTGAGGACATGGGCCCAGACTGCTTCGAGAAACGTCTGGCGCCATGACTTTGAGTCTTCGCGAGACTTTTCAAGACTGTTTAACGTTGCTAGCTCTGCGCCCTGGATAACAGCACTCACTCCATGTCTATCCTGGTTGAAACCATCCAAAGCGTCAGGTTCAAGACCAAAGATTGACTGGGGAGCAATATCCGACAGAGTCTTGGACCAGAAACTTTTGGATGAGTCGATGTCCTTGCGTTGCTGTGCGAGGTATCGTGTATAAGCGGTAAAGCCAGTGCTTTCGATACCAGGAATGCCGTGAATTTGAAGAAGACAGTCGAGTCTGAGTGTATGAAGCGAGGTTGTATCAATCAAGGCTCGATGAAAGTGAAGGACAAGATTGATCTCGTCAGAACGGTTGTTGGCCTCAACCGTCAGGAATGCTGAGCCTCGGTGACGCTTTTCAAACCCTTTTTCAGGGCGGTGCCATTGAACAGGCTCGATGCATCGCTGGACCACGACTTTTGGCGTTGGTTCATCGGTAATGCAAGATCGAAGGCATATGTCTAGTCAGAGTGTTAGTAATCACTTCCACATCAATTTTGATTGGAAAAGTGTAATACTTACAGTGATATGCCAGGGATCTCCATACATCAAGGACTTTCTTAGAGCTTAAAGCAGAGGTCTTTCCAGTGAAGAGAACTGCTTCAGCCCATTGGACATCCTCCTTGAGGATATCCTTCTGGACTTCAGTCGCAGGAAGGATAGTCTCAACGTCTGAGAAGCCCATGTCTTTCTCGTGCTTCACGAGGGCTTCGACAGGCTTAAGACTGAGACCGTCTTGATAGGGAAGGAAGAAGTCCTCATGCTTCTCAACGTGGTGGTAGAGCTTCATGATGAAAGATGATTAGCGTATTAAGGGGGTTACCAAAAGATGGTGTGAATATTAATCTAAGTGCTTTTGATCTATGAGGATGATATGCTTGTGATACTGGATGAAATTGATAGCCGTTTTACAAGATTGTTCCCTTATTTATACTTAATATCTTTCGATATTCTCTCCTTCAGTTTTTACTTTCATACCTTTGGAAAGTTCTTTTCACATCCCGAGGTGGTGACACAAGGACTCGGGCTCAATTGTCCCGTCTGCTGCAAGTATCTGCAAGTAAGCAGAGCGGCAATGCCGAACGTTGTCCCGAAGGATTGGATTCCCTGCCGTACAAGGAGTAGAACACATCTCGTCATACGTTTCTTACTATACGTTACTCAAATCGTTTGGGAATAACCTCACAAAACTCGTGTAAGACGCGGACTATGCCTGTTCTGGAAGTGGCGATGATGCATGTACTGGATGTAGTATTCGGGTTGAACAGGGCTTTCGCTTATGACCCCCACGATCGATGCAGTCTCACTGACGCCACGAGGGTTGCATCGAAGACCAAATAAGGTAGTTATTGAATCAGCGGCTGCATCCTCAATCCTTTCAATTACTCGTTCGTATTTGCGGCTCCGTAAGATGTGTTTCACGAGTGGCGATATGCAGTTGCACAATTGCAGAAAGCAGTGGTGGGTTGCAAGTAAGGGATCAGGATCCTTCGAAACACTCAGAAGCTAGATCGAAGCCTGCATCTCGAAAAATGTTTCCCAAATCGTGCATATACATCATGTTTGCTAGTTTTAAGAATGTGACTGCATCAACATCATCCCGAGGGATGTCACACTTTAGCGACATGCCGCTAGAGAATGTGCTAGAAGCGGCCCGCTTCCGAGGCGACGCTAATCTTACACAGTGTTTGTTGTACTGGGCAGGAAATGCTCCGATGAGCTGAGAGCCAGGGTTGTCGTATGCGGCACAGGCCAAGACAAGGCTATGATACTCGAAAAGCCTGACTTTTAGTGATATGTTGACCTCGCTGTGATTGCCGTTATGGTAGATGAATGTAACGTTACATTATGTCTCACATAGTACTTTTATATATATAGGGATTTTCACAGATGCTTCTCAAGCCAATACAGCAGATTCGAACCAAATCACGAGAAATCATTCCAGCTCTTTTGCAAACTTCGCTCCATCTTCTTCATTTCATTAAAAATGGCTTCTTGGGACAACCGCGTCGTCACCAACGAGCACTTGCTCCCTTACGTCGACTCCAACACTGCACCGCCGGATATCAAGGCAGCTCTGCAAACTCTGCCATTCGAGAGGAACATCTTCAAGGTAAGTCAACCCTCCCCTTCCAAAGCTTTAGCATCACAGACTAATTGGCTCTCGAAGCTCCTCGCCAACAGCAACGTCTTCTTCAAACCGTTCATGACACTCCTTTCTTCCAGTTGGAGCGAGAACCGAAAGATTCTCCCTTCCGAATGGCAAACCACTGTTCTACGCACAGCAGCCACTCTTGATGCCCCTTACGAGTGGGATGTCAACGAGCCTGTTGCTCGCGTCCTCGGTCTCACTGACGAACAATTCGCGGCTCTTCGCAACCCCAAAGAACCATTGCCCGACAGCCTGTTTACACCGCGTCAGCGATTGATCGCTCGTATTGTTGAAGAGCTCAGTCACCAACCTCGTGTTAGCAAGGAGGTCATGGATGAGGTTTTGAAGGCTTTCAGTCATGAGGAAATTACTGAGATTTTCTTTCTCAATGGTATTTACGGTTTCTTGGCTCGATTCATGAATAGTGCTAGGATTGATTTTGACGAGCCTATCCCTGGCTTGCTGGACATTCTGCGCAAGTACAATGCGTCAGCTATTGAGCGAGAAAAGCAGGCAAAGAAGGAGACTTAGTTGAATGGAAGCCTTGGACTTGTAGATAAAATTAATTGATTTATTTACATGAAAGAACTTTGCTTTTTTGCGACTTGCCTCTCGATACTATATGCAGAAGTAGTCTGTCTAGACTAATGTTAATCAATACTGCAAACTCAATGTAAGCCAGAATGTTATTGCAGCTAAGAGTTGTGGCTGAAAAAGAGAGCTCAGTAGATTTTGCATGATGTTAATTAGCATAGTGTGGTTAGTGTATTTAAGTAAGCCTATAATGTCTGAATGAATATATAAAGTTATAATACTAATAAATTATATATTAACTTGGGGTTTTTTCAGTAGGATATTTATAGTATTATTAAAGATAAGTGTGCTAAATAAATAAAGCAATAAGTAGCTATAATTTATAATAATAACTTAAAACTCCTTATTATATAGTGAAAGTGTATATTGCCTACTAAAGACCTATAAAGACTCTATTTATTAACTTAAGGTATCTTATTTTGCTTATAGTGTCTAGCGTGAATTATTATATATAACTTAAGAACTACCTTTGTCTAATAGCTTGTCTTTGCTAAAGTCTACAGATAAAAAAGCCCGAAGTAGCACCTCTTTCCTTTAGGAATAACAGTCCTAGAACCCAGACGCAAGAGTCAAACATACTGCTCCGCGAGAACTCGCAACCTAAGGCATCCATGTAACATATCAGATCTCAACTCCTATGACACATTTTTATTACTCACATACCATACCAAAATAAGCTGAGAACTTAGGTATCAACAAGCATCGTTGCTCCTTTCAGTGTTAGATAATATGTACATTGCATGACGCAATCTCACTGTATGTGACAACTCGTAAAAGATTTCAGTTTGCATGAAAGGGTTACATTACTACCTAGTCTTACTACCCACCACTTGCGTTGAGCCTCACAAGATGCATATGCAGCTAGACCCTACCAAACTGCAAAACCTGCTTGACCCGTCCCACCTTGTCACCAGGACCTGCAGTAACAGACTCCTTCACACGCCTCTCAAACTCATCCCTGCCTTCAACATCCTGAGGAACCTGAATCGTCTCCACAGGTGGCGTACGCAAAAGTCCCTGAGAAAGCAGGTCCTGGAACCACAGCAGGAGAGATTCCTGCTCTGCTGCAGTACGAGCCTTTAGCTGTTCAGACAGGCGGAAGTTCCGAAACTTGACCTCTGACCAGAACAGCAAACGCTGGGAAAGACCAATGATTCCACTTGCGCCGCCGAGAGACCCGCAATTGACATATGTCCCACCATGAGAGAGGGTATTTGCAAGTATCTCGCCGGATTCACCAAAGACAGCGTCAATGGCGAGCACGATACGACCCTTGGCAGCAGCATCCGCGAGTTCTGCCGAAGCCTGGGTGCCGTGCTTAGCGAGATCGTCCTCGGTGATCACGATCTCAACGCCCTGGCTCTGCAGATCAGCCTTGAGGGCATCGAAAGTGCTACCCTCCCGATCACGCACGACGCTGCAGGTACGAACCCCCTTGAGACGTGCAAACTGCGCTACAAGCCTCGCGATGGTTCCAGAACCTGCGTTCTGAATGATCCAATCACCAGGCTTCAAGTCACGCATGTCCTCGACGAGGAGGTAAGCCGGCAGAAACGCCATGCGCAATAGAGATGCGCCAAGCAGATCCTTCGTAGGCGACAGGGGAATAACATCCGTCACGCTAAGAAGAGCTTGGCTTCTCCAGGTTCCTAATCCATGTCGATGCGGAACAACAAAGTCTCCGGGCCGAATGTGGGTCTGCTCTGGGTTGGTCAGAGGACCCACTGCTTCGACGCAAGCCACGCCGTCATAACCCAGAACAGGCTGGTTGTCTAGGGTATGCAGCGGTTTGACTGGGTAGCGACCTGCAAGAACGAGGAGGTCTTGGGGGTTGATTGGGGAGAAGATGAAGGATACCAGAATCTGATCGACGCCGATGGAATCTGGTGGAATTTGTTCTTGCTTGGGGTAATGAAATCCCACAGAGGCTGATTTGCCGTCAGAGGATTGATTTTGAGTAATGGCAGCCATTTGGCAGAGACTGGTAGGCGAAAGCTGGAATACAACGAGAATCAAGTGCTTGAATTGAATTGAGTGTTGTTTGCGCTGGCTAGTTTCTTGGTCTAAAGACCCAACTTTATATCCCTGACGTGCATCACTTTAGTCGGCAGCCTCCTGGAGAATATCCTTAACAACCTAGACAACATCAAGAGATCTTGAGATGCAATTGCGGCAGCTAGTGTTAGCTCATAATTAGGCGATTTCCCCGAGCCCCTCCATCACCTCGTGTACGCACCCGACCCCTGGTCAACGGGGACAAATTCCATTTTCAGGCTAAACCCCTTGCGAATACCACACAGTGTGCTGTAACGTTACGGCACGGGCCGGATTTCGTCGTCGCCTTGTTCCTGTTTTCTTTACCCTATAGGGTCAGACTGGCAGGGTTCTGAATCCCTTCACATTTCATGTTTTCCATCGTTTTCTACGCAATTTCTAAGCATCGTTTCATGCCTGCTGAAACCGGTTGTTAGTTGTGATAATTACGAAATTAATAATAAAAAGTTTTATGCTTCTCCACAGCGTCAGAAATACATAACCCCAGATCACGGCCTAGCGTTGAAGCGTTTGTCTCATCGTTCAACAGTGTCTCTTAGCGTTATAACCTTAAAAACTTTAATCTTGTACGAATCTTAATACTTTTCTTCACTATGTCTTTTACTCAGGACAAACAGTCCGGTCACAGTTCGGACGAATCTCGATTATCACCATCTCCAGGTCCTGACTCCTCAGGCAACGAAGCCCTCAGGGAGCCCCAGGTTGAAAAGCCAGCACCAGACCCGTCTCCTCGAAATGTTCATGGTGTCAAGGTATGTACAAATGCCCCCATTACGGACTTGCTAGAAGTTTGCTAACTCTTAACAGTGGTTCCTAGTTGTCTGCGCCCTTCTCTCCGCCCTGTTCCTCTACGCCCTCGACAACACCGTAGTCGCCAACGTCCAAGCCAAAGTCGTAGAGACTTATCGACGCGTTGATCTTGTTCCCTGGCTCGGCGTCTCTTTCGCCCTCGCATCAGCCGCAACGACACTTCCCTGGTCCAAGGCTTATGGCACATTCTCGGCGAAAAAGCTCTTCATTGGCTCAACTACCGTCTTCATGGGTGCGTCTGCACTCTGTGGTGGCGCTCCCGACATCAACTCCTTCATCGTCGGTCGTGCTATCGCTGGAGCGGGAGGTTGCGGCATGTACATGGGCCTCTTGACACTCTTGTCAGTCACCACTACGAACGCCGAGAGACCAAAGTATCTCAGCCTCACGGGTTTCATCTGGGGTATTGGTACTGTTCTTGGCCCTGTGGTTGGAGGATCGCTTGGCGATAGTAGTGCGACTTGGCGATGGGCCTTCTACCTGAATCTCTTAGTCGGGGTTGTCATTGGTCCAATCTACGTTCTTCTCCTCCCCGACTTCAAGCCTCAGGCAGGTGTCCCTTTGACTAGTCGTCTAGCTCAGATTGACTACCTCGGCACGGCTCTATCCATTGGTTCCGTCCTATGCCTCATCATGGCTATGAACTTTGGTGGAGTCCTTTGGAGTTGGGATGCAGGCAGGAGCATTGGTCTGTTTGTGACAGCTGGCGTCTTGCTCATCCTGTTTGTGCTCCAGCAGGTCTTCCAAGTTGGCACCACGTTTGAGAACCGACTGTTTCCCATGCACTTCTGGAAGAGCCGTACCATGATTTGCCTCTTCTTTACAATGAGTAAGTCATGCGCCCTGAAAAGTCTTCCGTTTTGGTTCACTCATGCTAACTGCCTTGTTAGTGCTGGCAACGTTTGGCAGCTTTATCGGCATTTTCTACCTGCCACTGTATTACCAGTTCACTCGCGGAATCACGGCCGTAGAGACATCGGTTCACCTGTTGCCCTTTATCCTGTTCCTTGTCGCCTTCAACTTGTTGAACGGTCAATTCATGGGCCGAACAGGATACTACTATCCTTGGTACATTGTAGGTTCTTTGATGGAGCTCATTGGTGGAGTTCTCATGTGTAAGTAACATCCATTCTCTTCTAATACCTCAACTCCAAGTACTAACTATATACCAGATACCGTCGATGAGCACACATCTAATGCCAAGATCTACGGCTACACTATTATTCTGGGTACTGGCGTTGGTTGCTTCTGTCAAGCTGGTTTTGCAGTCGCTCAGATGAAAGTCAAGCCTACCGAGATCCCTTACAGCGTTGGCTTCATGACAGTGGGACAGATGCTCGGCATCGTATTTGGCACTGGCATGTCTGGCGCATTGTTTGTCAACTATGGTCAGCAAGCTCTCCAACGCGTCTTCCCCAATGTCTCCAAGACCGAGATCGCCGACGCTCTCGCCGGTGTTGGTAGCGGCCTCATCGATTCCGCAAAGCCTGACGTGAATGCAGAGGCCATCCATGGTATCACGAGGGCGATTCAACTCGCATATGTACCTATCATCGCGGCCGGATCTATCTGTCTGATTTGCAGCCTGGCGATGAGAAGGGAGAAGGTGTTCCACTAAGAGGGTCCAGGAACTGGTAGACTATCAGGACCGCCCTCGATGCCTGGTCCTGGTAGTCTCTAGAACAGGGCTCGATGGTCAATGATCAAGATCGTACTTCAACTAGGAGAGGGGGTCGGCCTGCTAACGAGATAGACCGATTGTCTTTAACCGGTCTACAGGCTTTGTTAAGAATACGCGACTAGTAATTACACTATAGTCAAGGCATATAGCACAAGGGGAGTCGTATTTAAAGGAACAAATTGACTTCGTACTTAACTCAATATATAAAAAACCTAATATTAAAGCTAAATGTCTACAAACATTGTGAAAGTTGGTCCCTTAAGTAGAGTGTTACTGCTTACAGTTCTTTATGGCCTCTGGCCATTGTTCTTCAATCTATCTACTGTAAAATGCCTCTATAACAATAGAACTGCAGCTCGAATTAATATAGACCTAATTCAATCCATCCATCTCGAGACTGCAAATATATTATAATTGTCCGTTATGTCGCGACAGGATTTGATGTTGGCTTCGAGAGCGCACATACAGTAGTTAGCGAACTTGGATGCGATAACGGCAAAAAGAACAGAATGCGCTTGCCCCGTACTGGAATCGAACCAGTGATCTTATCATTACTAGTGATACGCTTTACCACTGAGCCAACGGGGCTTATTTAGCGTCGTCAAGAAGCTTAGACAGATCGTCCGTATTACTCCCCATGGAGTTTACTTCCCCCTAAGGTGTCTTTCTGTTAGGCATTGATCCTAGCCATTATTCGCCCTATATCGATTGATCTCCACCTTCAATTATCATTATAATAACACTACTCCAATAAGTACAGTAGACAAACATCTCTAGCGCTTTATTAGTTCTGCTAACAATATCCTGCTTGTCATCCCTTCTTCTAAACCACTCCACTAAAACATCATCTTCATTCTCCAAGAACCCAAGTCAGCAGCATCCCCTCGCCCGCCAGGCTTCACATGCCAGGACTTTTCTTAGGCCTCGTGAAATAGACTATGTTATAATCTCTACAAGCCTGATTTATGATTTGATATGTGGTATTAATTGACCAGCCATGCCACATTATTCTTCCCGTACAAGAGACGCTTGTCGGCGTATTCATGGCGATTCTGCGAGCACGAGCTTATTCTCACTTCGTTGCAACGCGCTATAGGCACTACATGATTCTGGCAATAGTGAGAGAAGTACACTTTGACCGCGTGTAATACCTAGCTTCAGGAGATATAGATCGACGGTCGTATTAGACTCGTAGAACTTAAACACGTTCGATGAATGTCACATCCAAAGTGCCTGTTTATTCTCTGTTTGCTTCTGTCAATGGTTTTGAAGACGAAGCCTTCTGAGTTTCCATCTTTTCCGGATTCAGCAAGCTTTGTGCGGGGTGAATACTTGCAGCACACAATAAGATGAAGCGTACCTATCACCTTGTACTCTCGACCCCAATTTTCAGCGTTCCCCACACCCCAGCCGCTATTTCTTTAGTGCTGCAGCTTAGCCTAAGGAGCCAGTACTTATTAGTTTCCCTTACCCCTTCTAGTGCTGGCAATTTCACTTCTGGTAAAACCCATACAGCTCTGGCTCAAATGGAAACACGAATGGCGGATACGACGTCGATTGAGTCACCGGAAATACAAGATGATCAAGAAAAGTCCTCGTTTGTATGTGATACATGCAATCGACAATTCTCACGATATGAGCATTTAAAGCGACACACTCAGACGCATACTCATACAAAGGCTATCGAATGCACCTACTGCAGTAAAAGATTCAGTCGCAAGTTAGTACCATCTACCACCAAGAACAAGCATTTCATTTGAGACATACCGATTAGTCACTTACTTCTGGCGGATCTCTAGGGATGCGGCACAGCGACATGAACGGTTGCATGAACGCGAAACACCTGAAGGCATGCAATTACAAACCCCAACTGCTTCGTCACTACGGCGAACCTGTGCGCCTTGTTCTAAATCACGCATCAAATGCTCTGGAGGGACACCATGCACTTACTGCGCCGTGAGGAATTTTGTATGCTCTTACCTGCCCCGGAAACGACGGGGACGTCAAATCATGCTTAGTGCCTCTGAAGAGCAGGGTTCTGGAGGTGCAACAACGACATCAACTGTGCAGTCACCTGGTACTGTAGCTACGCCTGGGGCCGCACTCGATTGGCTCGAAACTACGACGCGCCAACAAAACATGGCTTCTGCTGTTCAAACCCAGACAAATTTGGTACAGAGTGATCAAATGGTCAGTAACGGTGGCCAAAGCTCGTCAGTGAATAGCCATCTTAGGCGTGAGCCTGAAAGACCGACAAATATCGTTGATGAGATCACAAACACCTACTCGATGCCCACAAACTGGCTTCCATTTGACGATGTCCCACTAAACAGCTCATTGCTGCATAATCTCAACGACATGCCCCGTCTAGCATCTGAAGTCGATCATGCATCTACAACTGCTCCCCAGAGCCTCGAGACGCAACCATCGTTTCCAATCCTTCCAGAAATACACGAGCAGAGCCTACAACAAGACCATGTTTCTGCCTTGATTGCTTCAATGGCCTCAAACAAGCAAAGGAAAACGCAATTTTCGGACACTAGTGACGATCCTGCGCTCCCCGGCACTAAAGCCACGCATTATTCAGACGGAGCGGGGTTCAGGGAAAGCCGAGCAGAGAGATACATGCGCCAACGACGCGCTGCTTATGGTGAGGACCATGGGCCAAGTCCGGGCCAGCAGGTCCACATATCATGGATCAGCGACCTAGAGGCCAGAGTCGCGGCAGCAAGTAATCGGATTGGGGCATTAAGTGACGTTCCAGATAGTATATTCGAGGAGCTCATGTCAAGACTGGACTCTCATGCGACCAGCTCTCATATACTTGCCGACTTTGCAGCGCACAAAGAGAGTCTGCTAGCCAAACGTACTTTTCAACTATTTATCGGTCTCTACTTCGAGCACTTCCATCCGGTAAACCCCTTCGTTGACAGATCACATTTGTCTATCCCTCTTTGGGGCTGGAGCTTGTGCCTAGCTACCGCTGCGATTGGTTCTAAATACTTTGGTTCTGAAGAAGTCAATCGCTTTGGAGATTGCTTATGCTGTATCCTGCATGAGCTCATGACAAGAGAAGTATATCAATCGTCATCTCACTATCTGGTAACAGTCTAGCTGACTTTACATAGCTCGATTTTGTCGACTCTCAAGAGCCGGTGCCTTACATTCAGGCTCGGATCCTGGCTTCAGTCGGACTCTGTCAGAGTCGTCAGCCGGAACTACTCAGATGCGGGTACAACGGCTTAGCAATGGCAGCACAAGTATGTCTTCGGCTTCGCTTATTGAGTGAGGATGACAATATCGGTTCGTATCAGAACGATCAAAGTCTGGAACAGAAGTGGATTACTTGGCGATTTCGAGAGACACGAAGAAGGACGGGTATTTTTGTTTGGGTAAGTAGCTCGCATCCCTTGCCTATAGGTGCTGCCACATTCTAATATGACGCATAGTTAGCCAGTTGCTACTTTGCTTTGGCTTCTGAGCATCATCCGTGCTTGTTCCCCAATCAACCACAATTGCGGCTTCCATGCCGAGAAGAACTATGGGCCGCAAAGTCGCCAGAGGCTTGGTCTACGGCAAGCTTAGCAGGGAGAGACGCCGATCTAATAACCTTCTCTGCTGAAGAAACCTCACGACCTACAGTGCCTGAAGTAACACTGGAGCTTTGGCGACACTTGAAGTCGCAGAATTCACCGAATTCCTTTGCGACCATTGTCATAATTCACATGCTGGTCCATCGCAGGTGGGCCGCTAACGGATATTTGGCTGATGCACTTCGCGACATACCACAAACAAATCGGCCAAACATCCATGTACCTGAGAGAAAGTACCTTGGTTCCGTACCCGAGTACATAAAGTGGCGCAATCAGTGCTGTGACTGCTTGGATGTGCTGCACTGGGAAGCACTCAGTCTATCAGCCAAGGCAGAAGGACTTGAAGATCCAGTATTACTGCATCTACACCTAGCTCGACTCTCACTTCTCGCACCAGTCCAAGAGCTCTTTGCGTTTGCTGACCAGAGTACTCTCTCGGGGATCACACACATGACCCCCAGTAATCTCTATCGTCACGGTAACGTCAGCTCAGAACCAAGACAGACTGTCAAGATCTGGGCGACTCAAGATCGATATAAAGCTCGCCTGGCTGTAATACATGCTGGGGCTGTTCTGTGGCATGTGAGGAGATATTCATCAGACTCGATTGTTGAACCATTTGCGGTCTTTCTTGCATCGTTAGTGCTCTGGGCTTATGGCCAAACTTCAAACATTCGAAGGCTTTACGAATCTGCATGCACTATGGCACAATCTCCATTGAGCGATAACGAGGACTCTGTGAGTTCCGCGCCTACGACACAGGGTTCATTAGAGAGCCATGGGATGCGCGACTATGCGTCAGCCAGGCGGCGGATGCCAAGCGCCATGCAATTAGACAGGCCGATGGACGATGAACTTGTTCAGTACTTTATAAGATTTGGTGAGGACCTGCGTCTTCCCCTTGAGGGAGTAGATGACCTGTGTGCAACCGAAGGCCCATTACAGATGCTGCAAGAGGTATCGAGTTTACTGATGGAACAGCACAAACCTTGGGGTATTTCTGAGACTTACGCTAGATTTCTACGAGACCTGAAAATGTCGCAGTGGGAACTGTGAATGCACATTAGGTAGAATCGGAGTTTAAACTCGTTAGAAGTGAGCCAGTGTGATGTCTTCCTAGTTCTGGGTTGATAACCTGATATCTCATAGAACGATCACTGATAGGTCTGAATGTATAGCTGTCTCAAAAGAAACCAAATCCACGAGCTCCAAGGCTAGCGGACATAGAGACGGCCCCGTACAGCTCTAAACCTTTACCACTCCTGCTCCCTGGCTGTTATCATAGGCATCGACGTGATAAGTCTTGAATTTCCTCGTCGGAAGCTTAGCCTCGAACATCAGGTCAAGTTCTTCATAGCTGCGACCCTTTGTTTCAGGCAGGCGGAAGAAAGCCCAGACAACACTGAGACACGCAAAAGCGAACCAGAAGAATCCAGTCTTGCCTGTGACAGAAGGGTTAGTATTCGTAAGAGCTAACATGGGAGTGATATACTAGCCTTTCCAATTCCATGCAGAAGGATTCATCATGTATGGCTGAATGACATTGGCAACGATTTGTGCCAGGTAGTATGAGGTTCTGGCCAAGACCACGGTCTTGGATCGCAGACGCGTGGACGAAACTTCGGCAGGGATGGCCCATCCGATTGGGCCAACAGTAAGAGAGAAGGTAAGGAGCCAGATCAAGCAGAGGATCGACTGAACCCACTTGACGGCGGGATTGGAAGTGTTGGTAGCTAAAGCGCCGATGATAAGAAGCCACATGCTCATGGCACTCATGCCTGCGAGATACAAGTTTCGACGGCCGATGTGTCTCATCAGGAACCACGACGCAATAGTACCACAGAATGCCATTCCAGTGCCGCCAAGATTGAGGTTGTACGAGGTCTCTGAGTCCAACCCCGCTTGTTGGAAGAAGTACGTGGCTGAATAAGCGAACTGGGCACCGCAGGTAATCTGACCAAGGAACGACACACAAGCAATCTCGGTACGGCGTATATCAGCCGCCTTGAAGCAATCGAAGTATGAAGTGCCCTCTGCAATTCGTTTCTCGGTCTCGTTCGTGTGAATCATCAGTGCAACGAGAGGCTTTGCTTGAGGCTTTTCGTCAGTGGCCATGAGACGGAGGACGCTCTTTTCAGCCTCGTCGTATCGACCCTTGCGGACTAGATACCAGGGAGACTCAGGCATGAATATACAGGCGACGAAGAGGAATGGGATCCATAGCCATTGTAAAGCAAAAGGAACGCGCCATGCCCAATCGTTGTCCCACTCGATGAAACTCTTGAGAACTCCAGCGCCAATGAGCTGTCCTGTGGCGAAGCACATGTTGGTGTAGGCGGTGAGGTATACGCGAAGAGGAAGCGGACAGAGTTCCGAAGCATACGCAGGACCGATCGTGGCGAAGATGCCCCAAGGCAGCCTTGGTCGCGAATTAGCCGAGGTGTCCAAGAGGATAGTCTATGTCGTGTAGAGCAGAGGGGAGAGCTTGGCCGACTTACCCACAGAGAATCTGTCCCACTGCCTGAAGCTCAACAGACATGCCAAAGAATGATACCATGACAAAAGCAGCCATCAACACCACGCCGAGGAGAAATGCAGGCCGATACCCAAAGCGCTGTATGATGAAACCATTCAAGATGGCGCCAACGATGGCACCGGCTTGCGGACCGCTGCCCATAGCACTCTGCCAGCGGGCAGGAATCTGGTATGTCTTGGTTGCATCCTGATATTCTCCAAATCGCCGAGCATAAGTAGGATAGGCATAGAGCGAGCCAATCAAGATAGTGTCATAGCCTTCCATGATAATGGATAGTGACACAACGAGGGACCAGACGACAGCCCACGGGTACGACTTGAGGGCTTGACGAACAGTCAGAGCATGCTCATGCGCATTCGCTGCCTGGGCTTCGTCCAAGGTAGCTTCCCAAGAGCCAGCACGGCCAAGCATGACGTTAGAACTCTTCTTGTCGTCGCGTGTGTCGTGCCTAGCTAGGCCTTCGTTGTGCTCTACCGAATGGGAAGAGATTGTCTTCTCCATGGCCGATGAAATGATTCTGTTTAATGCTGCTGCTGATAACAAATACTGATAGTAGAAAGGGGCTATGAATGGGAATGTTTGGCTTTGAATACTCAGGGCGTCCGAGCTCTATACTTTATACTTGGAAATGAAATGCCTGATTCTGGCGATTTGGAGCCTCCTTCAGCTGGGATACTTTGGAGTCGCATGACAGCCGAATTAGCTCTCAAGCCCCGTGGGGAAATGTCACGAAGTGACCAGAATGCGGAGAAGCAGACCACATCGGTGCCATGCGCTCAATGTGAGGCATTGGAAAAGCGTAAACAATGTCCATTGGTCTAGGCTCAAGACTAGGTTGGTCTGCCAGGTTCTTCGGGATTTCGTTGTGTTCTTGACCCTCTAGCCCCTAAGGCTACACCTAATCCGGGACAAGCCTCGTGGGTGAAGATTTATGTCGGACAATCCACCCCCACAATGAAAAGCCGATACTGAACTACTGACAGCCACTAAACCGTTACGACCAATCGAGTGTTGGTATTCGCATGGACGTTCGGTATTATCCCTCGTTCCACCCCCACTCTGTATTTCCTAGTACAATGTGTTTCCTGATGCTTCCTCCGAAGTGGGAGAAGCAGAGGCGTGATCAGAATCAGTAGCACAGAACCAGCGCCCGTACTGAGAGGGGTAGACAAGGGCAAGGTGCTTGGCTAAGTAGAGATCTGCATTTCTAACATGTATAAGAGAAAGTGCAGGGTGATCAGACCTTTATCCAATCTTGCCTCGTCTACTTCGTTCAAGTGATTGCAGCCTCACCGTCTTTCCAATGGCAGATAATCCTGTTTTCATCTCCTGGCAGACCACCTCACTGACCATAAACTTTGTCAAAAATGAGTTTGGGGCAATTTGTCTTTATGAGATTCTCCCCCTAAATCATCGCCATCAGAAGTCTGCTTCACCCCTCTTCGCCTCGTCTGAGCTACCACTCGTTAGTGTCAGGCTCAATGGCGAAGGCAATACCAATGACAAGACGGCAAAATCACTTGTTGGCGGCTATCTGTCTTCCAGGCTGCGATACAATAGTCATCAACAGAGCCATGATGGAGACATGCACAGACTGGACATTCATAGTGAGGATGAAAGGTCGGGGATCTCAGTGACTGCTCATTTGAGCGTATACGGAGACGTGCCTGTTCTTAGGTCAGCTGTCACCATCAGAAATGAATCCAAGTCGTCAGATGTTATTGTGACGCAGCTTTCATCTTTGACCATTGGCGGCCTCACAACAAGATCAAATGAATGGAACAAAGACTATGTCCTCAGAACGGCGACCAATACCTGGTTCAGGGAAGCTCAATGGCGCAAACACTCACTACCCGACATTGGCATAGACAAAAACGGTATCTGTGAACTGGGTGATGGCCACTCAGGGTCCCAGGCAACCTTTGGTCTCCAGAACAGGGGATCCTTCTCAACTGGCTCGTACCTACCAATGGGAATATTGGAGTCGGAGTCAAACTCGGATACCTGGGCTTGGCAGATCGAACACAATGGATCCTGGAGATGGGAAATCGGAGACTACAAAGATAGCGTCTACATCGCGACTGGAGGCCCAACTAAGGCAGACCACGATTGGAGACATACTCTATGTCCCGGCGACAGCTTCACCTCGCCCCCGGTCTCGCTGACTCGTGTTTCTGGATGTTTCCAAGACGCTATCCGTGCACTGAACGACTACAGACGACGAATCATTCGGCCGCATGATGACAACAAGAGGCTGCCGATAGTTTTCAACGACTACATGAACTGTCTCATGGGCGACCCAGATGAAGACAAGATCGAAGCTTTACTTGATCCCGTGGCCCAGTCTGGAGCCGAGTACTTTGTCATTGATGCTGGTTGGTACGCTGATGATAGTAACTGGTGGGATGACGTTGGCTTGTGGGAACCTTCAAAGAGGCGTTTTCCATCTGGCTTCAAAACACTGATGGACAAGATCAAGAGTAAAGGTCTCATCCCAGGGCTATGGTTGGAGCCTGAAGTCGTGGGCGTCCGGAGTGTCGTTGGTGAAAGACTACCAGAGGACGCATTTTTTCACGAGAATGGGCAACGGGTTGTCGAGAGAGGAAGATTTCAACTCGACTATCGCCATCCAGAGGTGCGAGCCTGGATGACCAAGGTCGTTGATGGACTCGTGGTCCATTACGGAGCTGGGTTCTTCAAGTTCGACTACAACATCGAAGTCATCCAAGGAACCGATGCTCCAGGCCCATCTTCCGCTGGTGCCAACCAGCTCCTTCACCAGAGATGCTACCTCGACTGGGTCCGGTCACTCCTCGACAAGCATCCAAACCTTGTGATCGAGAATTGCTCCAGCGGCGCGCAAAGGATGGATTACGCCATGCTGTCAGTTCACTCTCTTCAGTCCACCAGCGACCAGCAAGACCCTATCCTGTACGCTGCCATCGCTGCGGCTCTGCCAACATGTGTACTGCCTGAGCAAAGTGCGAGCTGGGCATATCCTCAGTCGGGATGGAGTGACGAACTCAATGCTTTCACTGTAGTGAACAGTTTGTTGGGGAGAGTCTATCTCAGCGGTAGACTTGATCGTTTGAGCACTTCGCAGATGGAGCTCATCATCGAGGGGATAGATGTTTACAAGACGATTCGTCAGCATCTTGTGACGGCACATGCTATTTGGCCTCTGGGACTACCTCGTTGGCATGACGACTGGATCTCGCTGGGCTTGGAGACTGGCAATGGTCTGTACCTTGCAGTGTGGCGAAGAGGCGGTGGCTGCTCAATGGAGATACCGCTACCAAGACTGGCTGGCAGTGGCAAGGTCCAGGTAAACGTCTTGTACCCCAAACGACTACCTACCCAAGCCATCTGGAACGAAGGACAAGATGTTCTAGAGCTCAAACTTCCTGAGACGAGGTGTGCTCGGGTTCTTCATATTACTACCTAGATAGACAATTGATCTGTTGGACATTTGCTTCACAGCCATGACTATCCCCAAAGTCTTTGCCTTCTCTGTCGGCTGAATGATCTCTCTCTCGATCTTATGTATATATTAGAGGGTACTGACCTTGCATAAATGGGTTTAAGGCAGGGTACAGGCTTGTCTAGGGCTCTAAGAGATTGCTAGGCCTTTCATCGAAAAATAAATCACATAGGGTATCAAGTACCTCCAATCTTCTGCATTTTAACTAACTACTCCTCCCTGTTGTGACCTAGCAGGCGGTCCTTGACATGTGAAGGAATAATACTATAGCTATATCCCTATGCCTGAAGCGACAAGCGCCTATTAAAATAAGCGTATATTTAACTCACGGACACTAGAGAAGTTAGGTATGAAGGATAGTAAATTTCCCTTTGAATGCGGAGAGGGGCAAAGGACTCGGGCTTCGATTCGCCAATCATGAGCTAATCCGAAATAAGGCCCATTTACAGGGGTGTCCAACTCCGATGGTGGGCTTAGCCTCGCAGCTAAGCGCCAGTTTACAGCAGGTCAGCTTAAGCCCCGTGGCTATGACAGTAATGCGTGTGGTCCGAACAAGCCCTTGCCCAATAAAATCGATTCTTGATTTGTCGCTAGGCTGTGCTGTTTGTGCCCTTTTATGTTGCTTATATTTAGAAGACATCATCATTGGACGGGCATCAATTTATCTCACTTTGATTACTACTAACCGCCAGCCTGATTCAACATGCCCCAGTCGAATCTTCAGCTACTAATGAGACCATGAGGTGAGCTGGGCAGTTTTCAGATTCAAAAAGGTGCAAGTGACCACCACTATTCCTCTCAGACAAGCTCAAACCTCTTGGTTCTCACTTGAATCTTCCTCAACAAGGTCTGATTTTCTTTCTCGCCGGCACCATGGTTGAATGGCATTTCGAAGTCATCCACAACATCACCAGCGATAGGAAGCTGCTTGGCACCATCATCTCGCCAGAATGGCAGATGTGGGATGAGGCCTATTTTAAGCGGGTGTCTGACACGCTTGCAGACCCGACACACACGGGAAAGCTTATGGCAGAGGGATGCAATAATGGAGATTCAGAAGAGCTAAACTGCACTAAAACATGCGACAGCGCCGAGTATATGTTCAGATCTCCGCAAAACCTATGGAACTGCATGACTCTATCGACTGTAGCTATGAAGGTCATTCCAGAGCCAACCAACGACACGGTTAACCGGGACAGTGAAAAGGACATGGATGCCATGTTCCACTTTGGTTCCCTGCGCGACTTTGACAGACTTTACGCCTTTAGAAAAGTTCGCGAGTGTCTGTGGCAGTCCTGCTCCGACTCCAAGTACGGCAAATGCACAGAGGATCTTTTCGACTACCAATGTAGCCCTATACACCAATTCAGCCTCGCTAACTTTGGCACGGTCCTTTCAGAACGCTATTGTAGCGTTGCAGATCCTGGATTCGACTTTGACCTCGTAGGACAGGGAGTGAGTACCATTGTCCACGCCACTATCGCCATCTCCATGCTCTGACAACATATGGGCAGGTACTCATATCGTACATCATGCAGTACGTTCTAGTCTTATTCTTTTGTCTCTCTTTCGCATTGACGCGTCAGTGGACGAAGAATCACATTTGGGGACGCGTTAGGAGGCTCATGAGCAAAGGCAGCTTGTTACCTTCTGCTCCCAGACAAAATACTAGTCCGCTAGTGAAGTGGTTCATCCGATTCTGCCGACAGTTCCCCAGCGCGATAACATCGACCCTAATAGACCTTCAGGAGACTCAGACTCTCTTCGCAGCAACCATTTCTGTAGCCACCATTCTGGCGTTCCACTGCTACACGGGCCTAGCCAACGTTGCTTCCATATCCTCCTACGTCCTCAACAACGAGATCGCTCACGGCGTGATCATCATCGGCATGATTCCTCTCCTCTTGTTACAGCTCGTTCTTCACGCGTCGGAACATCCATCGACATACACTCTTGGTTTTGTCTTGCTCAACTGGCTTTTCATCGTTATCAAGTCCGCACTTCAGAAGGGGGGTGCTGC